CCCCCCCCCCCAGCTGGCTCCAAAAATTAAACTTTTTTTTTTTTTTTTTTTTTTTACACGTTTTGGTTCTGCATGAGCCGATCTCCGCATCAGAGGAGCTCTGATGAAACCATTTATCTGCTCCGTAAAGTTCAAGGGCCAAGTGGTAGCGTGGTGTGAGAAAACAGATTTAGGCTACACACACTTTTCATGTGATTCTCTTGCTGTTTTTTTTTCTTCTTCTTCTCTCAGGTCTCCCAACAAAAACAAAAGCATCCACTTGATCAAAACCATCTGCAAATAGTGCATTTCTGTTGCTTTAGATAGTGCGTTTTAAAGGTGTGCCAATGTTCACTTATGGTGCATGGGCTTTTTTTTTTTTTTTTTTTTTTCCCCTGCGCAGGGGAAAAAAATAAACATTATTTAAAGAACAAACTTTGGAACCAAATCCCTGTGAAATGCGTTACAAAAGCATTCATAGGCCGTAAACTTTTACCCTCACTCTTAAACTGCAAACTTCAACGTCTTTGGTTGGGTTTTTATGCGATAGTCCGGTATGAAATAGAGGAAGACAAAGAAAATTGATACACGGCTTTCAAAATATTAAAAAAAAATGTTAAAACTCTTGCTGTATTTACCTCCAATAGTTCAAAATATTTTATCACCACCTCCTGCTGGTGTTACAACTGCAGGTTATTTCAATATTTGCTCACGTTTTTGCCAGCACGTGTTTGCTCAGTCAGACTGGTATCAATTCAAGTCTTGCTACAGATTCTCAGATGAATTTGGGTCTGGACTTTGACTAGGTCATTCTAGCATTATGGTTGGCTGGGAGGTCAAACCTCCTTCCTGCCTCAGTCGGACAGGACAAGTATTCCTGCCTGACTGACTTTGTAATAAGACTGAAATATAACGATGTGGACTCTACTTACCAAACAGGTTGCCTGTTTACACTTATTTTTAAGGTATGCCACGTTTTTTTTTAATTTTTGCTCTTAAAAAACACGATATAGTTCCCTTTTACTTCCTTTCTTCCTCCCCTAAACTGCGGAAGAGAAGTAATGGCAAAGCAACACTCCGCTCCATCTTCATCCTCTATTTCTATTTTCTTCATCTCTGAACGCTTTTATTTCTTCACCTTCATCACATTAGGTGACCAGCGTGGAGCTCTTGATTTTTTTTTTTTTTTTTTTTTTTTTTTAAAAGCAGCTCAAATTACAGTTATTTATGTTTTTTTAGCACTGTGGGAAATATCTTTGACCTTTCATTTGACTTAACAAGTTGATTCCGTCCACATCAGACTGGCTCGGCTCCTGCACTTAAACGTCGGTTTGACATTTTCTGCCAAAGCCACTTCCTCTTGTGGCATCCCAGTGCCCTGTGTTTGAGCGCCGGGTAATGAGGGAAAGATTCGTGCCGTGCGAAAGCAGGGGAAGCAAATTGCCTCCATCAAGGCTTCTTTTTTGGACTGTAAAAAAGCAATCAGGGGATGGAGTGTCCTGCGGTTTTACAATTGCTCCTTTTTCTTTT